GATTAGTAGGGTCTGGTGCCCAGGGCCTGCAGAGTAGAGGAGGAGGCAGGGTCTGATTAGTAGGGTCTGGTGCCCAGGGCCTTTGGTGTGGGAGCTGGACTGTTTCTCCTGAGTGCAGGAGGAAACTTTTGGAGAGGAGATCTTAGGCAGGCGAATCACCTCTCGTGGTTGTGACTAAGCTACATCTATTTGCTCATTTGCACTTGTCTCTGTGTGAGCATAGTTATTCTTCAGATCCCCAGGACCTAGCACCTATCTGGGAATTTAGCAAATGGATAATGGCTTTCTTTTGATGCGCTCTTCATAAGTGATAGATCATTAACACCATCTTCTCTTTAGTAAAACCTGATCATTCCGCTGCTTCCCCGGGTGGGGTGGTGGTGGTGGTGAGGGTGTCTGTGAAGAAGGAAGTGTCAACAGGCATTTTCAAAACTGCAGGACAGTATATTCTAGATGTTGTTTTTAGCCTTTTGAAGCTGGCCACAGAAAAAAAATGAGAGGCCGTGACATGGAGAAAGTGGAAGCTCTAAGCAGCCGGCAGAACCTTCTGATGACTGTGCCAGCAGCCACAGCGGCCTTGCTTTTAAAAAGGCAGTGGACTGGAGTGCTTATCCTGGGGTGCGTGGGAGAGCAGGGCTGGGTGGAAGGTTGTCACTGCATGTGTGTGTGTGTGTGTGTGTGAGAGAGAGAGAGAGAGCAAGAATGTGTGTGTATGTGTGTGCATGTGTGTATGTGTGTCTGTGTGTGAGAGAGAGCAAGAATGTGTATGTGGTGTGTGTGTGTGTCTGTGTGTGAGAGAGAGTGTGTGTGTGAGAGAGCAAGAATGTGTGTGTGTGTGTGTGTATGTGTGTCTGTGTGTGTGTCTGTGTGTGAGAGAGAGCAAGAATGTGTATGTGGTGTGTGTGTGTGTGTGTGTGTGTGTGTGTGTGTGTGTGTGTGTGTGTGTCTTATGTAGCCCAGGCTGGCCTTAGACTCACTAGGTGGTGGGTGACCTGGAGCCCTGACCCATCTGCTCCCACCTCCCTAGTGTAAAGATTGTAGGAGTGCACCCCACGCAGTTTGTACAGCTCTACGGATAGAACCCAGGGCCTTTGGCATGTGCCAGTCAAGAACTCCACCACTGAGCTATATATACCCCTGGACCCTTCTTAGGGTTCTCTTAGCTGACAGTTAGGACAGTTGTGTATCGTTCTGATCTTTGAAACATGGAACCTCCGAGATGCCATTTTTAAGTTAACATAGAAAAATATCACTTTGGATTTTATGATTGCCTTTTTTGGGGACACCAGGGTCTAAGAGTAGGCTTTTGCTATGGGTGGTATTTATCTAACTTACAGATATTGTTATTATTATTAAATACTGACTTCCCCCCCTCCTGAGTCTGTTAGAAACTCTAGTTTGTATCTGTCTGGGTGTCCTTCAATAAAACTTTGTTTTGTTTTTGTTTGGGAATGGGGGCTGCTTTTGAACTCACAGTGTAGCTTAGGCTGGCTTTAAACTCCCCACCCTCCTGCCTTAGCCGCCTGAGTGCTAGGATTACAGGTGTGTGCCAACACGTCTGGCTTAGAGCAAGCTGTGTTTCCAGACTGCTCATGGAGAAGCCATAGTCCTATAGACGTGTTCTAATGGCGGACCGGTCCCAGCCTTCAGAAGGCTTTTTTGTGATTACTGTTTTCTCCACTTTCACTGGGAAATTACCCTTCAGGTAATGGAGGGGTGTACATGTGGTGTATTAAGTATGTCTGGGCTTTTTTTAAGAGGTGAAAATATTTTTCTCCACAGAGACTTCAGCAACACAGAAACACTGTGTAGTGAACAAAAATATTATTGTGAAACGTGCTGCAGCAAACAGGAGGCTCAGAAGAGGTGCGTGAGGGGCTAAGGGGGGGCGGGTGGGGAGGGTGAAGGTGAGGGGCTAAGTGGGGGTCGGGTGGAGAGGGTTAAGGGGAGGGGCTAAATGGGGGTCGGGTGGAGAGGGTTAAGGGGAGGGGCTAAGGGGAGCGGGTGGGGAGGGTTAAGGGGAGAGGCTAAGGGGAGCGGGTGGGGAGGGTTAAGGGGAGGGGCTAAGTGGGGGTCGGGTAGGGAGGGTTAGGGGGGTGGCTCCCGGCAGGAGGGCTCCGTGGGTCTGGGATCTCAGTTTCACAGAGCCTGGGAGTCAGGAACCTTCCTCACCCGGGAAACCTGGATAGGAGTGCTGTCCTGGGGAAGTTGGCGTTTGTCTGTTTGCACGTTCTTTCAACCCTCACCAAATACCAAGTGTTACTGTGTGCCAGATCCTATGCTGGCAAACAAGAGGGCCTCCGATGTACTCACTACGCCCTTAGGGTTAAAGATAAACAATATAAGGTACTTTGCATCATGCATAACACACAGTATACACAGCGTTGCTGCTTTGGGCTAGACCTTGGCTCTCTTATTTACAGCCAGAGATTTAAAAATAATCTGTTGTGTGAGGCAAGGACGCATCCATTGGAGGAACCTGTGTTAAGAAAGTCAGAAAGCCAGGGATACACAAAGAAACACTGTCTCGAAAAAAACAAAAAACCAAAACAAAAATCTTTTTTTTTTTTCACCAGTACCGGTCAGCTACAGCTCTTGCACATTCTGAACTAATTAGTTGGTCCCCGTTATCTTATCCCAGAAGCCAAGAAACTTGAAAGTTTAATCTTCCTGTGAACGCCTACTTGGGATAAGTTTTATCTTGTTTGTTTTAGAGATTTCAAGGTGGCTCATAGATACCCAATGGTGCTTAGCCCCTCACCCTCCACACTACCCATGCACATCTTTCCTCATGGCTTCAGAGTAGAAGGCCAACCCCTGTAACAGGCAGCCAGTATTCTACGTTAGTGGACATTGACTCTGCCTCAGGCAGCCTGGGTACCTGTGTGGTGTGAAGGTATTTTCTGTTCAACCTTGGAGGTTTCATGTATTGAAATGACATATGCTCCTGGGAAATATGCAGGTTTCATATAATTATTGTTTTTCTACTGATTTGTTTTTATGAGGCAGGCTGGGTCTGGCTGTGCGGCCCAGGCTGGTCTAGAACATGCCTGCTTCCTATCTCCACCTCCCTCCAAGCATTGGGACTATAAGGCCTGTGCCATCATGTCAGTCTCTAGAGATGTTTTTATTTTATTTTTGTGAAGAGGGCTTTTTGCCTTAGTAGATACCTCAATAAATATCCTCTTAGACTCGGTTCCTTTCAAACAATACGTACTAAACTGTGCACAGGTCCGCGGCGTTTGTCACGGCTAATTCAGCACATTCATCAGTGGGGGTAGAGGTGTGGGTTGCCGGAGAAGAACTGGGTGCTTTTCTCACTAGCCATGTTATCTACCTAAGCTGTGACTGTGTGACAGTTTACCCAGGAATGTTAATTCATGGTCAGGTAGTAGGGGGAAAAACTGTTTATGTAAGGCTGGGACCAGAACAGTTCCTCCAGGGCAGTATTTCTCAAAACCTTCAACGCACTGTTCTATGTGGAGGCTTCAACATGGGAAGAAGCCTTGTTCAAACTTGACCTCCATACCCTCCACCCCTCAATTTACTAATGTAGCCAGGACCTGGGAGTTTAGTTTGTGAACATGGCCCTTAGGCAATGCTTGCACTTTATAAACACTGAGAGTGAGAACCATAGTAGGGGACCCATGTGGCATGAAATCATAGAGTGAGGAGTGGACATGAGCCTGGCACCCGTGGTGTCTGATGCCCAGGTATGTACCAGAAACTTCCTTCTGCTGGTCTTTAGCACCTGAAGTTCTGTCTGGATCATTTTGCCTGCTCCTTTTCCCAGCTTCCTTTTCTTCATTTCTCAGTCCTCCTGTCCACGTACTAGGGAGTAGGACTGTCCACATACTTTCTATTCTGTAGGCAGAGAGGCACGGCGAGAGAATGTCTGCCATGATGACCACATGGAGATACATGGTTGTGCTTTTCTCCTACTTGGGTTAGCCAAGGATGCAGGATGTACTAGTCTCCGTAGACGAGCACACCTTTCTGCTAGTGAGAAGTCTGGATACTTGCTGGACCCCTCCTGTTCTTGTTTGTATAGGCAATGGTGTGTTTTCTTCCTCTAATGGGCATTGGCCGCAAATGGTTTTCCGTTTCTCACTTTCTTAGGATGAGGGTAAAAAAGCTGCCCATGATTCTGGCCCTGCACCTAAAGAGGTTCAAGTACATGGAGCAGCTGCACAGGTACACCAAGCTGTCTTACCGGGTGGTCTTCCCTCTGGAGCTTCGGCTCTTCAACACCTCCAGCGATGCTGTGAACCTGGACCGCATGTACGACCTGGTGGCTGTCGTTGTTCACTGTGGAAGGTAAAGGTGGGCTGGGAGGCAAGTTTCTGTGATCAACAGAGGGCTTATCTCTTCATCAAGACAGACCCAGCTATACCCTTACCGGACTACATACAATAGTACTTCTGGAAGTGCCACTCAGATTCTTACTGATCACCTCCAAATATACAGAAATGCTTAATGTGGAGGTGAACCCTAGAAATACAATGTTGCCTGACTTCATCATGTGGTCATCATCAAGGGTACTTAACAAATACTAGGTGATATAATAATACAGCACTACTGACCCATGTCCAATGTCATTAAGAAAAAGACATGTCAGTATGTAGCACATGCCTGTTCATAATCATACCTATAAATACACATGAAATAACATGAGAACAATGATAATCCAAATGTTCTATCATTCAGGGAAGCAATTTCATCTCCTTTGGATGGAAATGATGCAGACAGTGAGTCTAAAATAACATAGTAAAATAAATGCTTATGCGATTATGGTTTTATTTATATACTTTAAAGATTTATTTTTATTTTAATTATGTATAGGTGTGTGTGTCTGCATGTGGGTATATGCATGTGAGTGCAGGTGCCTGCAAAGACCAAATGGGTCCTCTGGAGGTGGAGCTACAGATGTTTGTAAGTCACTTCACGTGGGTGCTGGGAACCAAACTTGGGTGCTCTTGACTTCTGAGCCATCTCTACAACCCCAGATTTTATGTTTGGAAAAGGTATGTATAGGCATTGGCAAGATGGCTGAGTGTATTGCTCTTCCAGACCTGAGTTTAATTTCAACACCAGTGTCCCATGGCTGACAACTCCCTGTAACTGCAGCTCCAGGAGGTCTTACACTTTTCTGGCCTCAGCCCCAGGCACACAGACACACATAATTAAAAATTAAATATAAAGAGCCATACATACATAATATATGCATGTGTATATATAAAAATCATGATCTGAAAAATATTTTACTATGTCTGAATCAAACCTGGAAGCAATCGATCAGATGTCATAATTTTGTGGCATTTTGACTAGTCAAAAAAATCTGTTCTTAAAAATATTTTTTATGTAACTTTCTGCATGTCCCCAATTCTTTTTTAAAAAACACAACTTTTTTAAAAGATTTATTTATTTATTTATTTATTTATTTATTTATTTATTTATTTATTTATTTATTATGTATACAGTATTCTGCCTGCACATATGACTATAGGCCAGAAGAGGGCACCAGATCTCATTCTAGATGGTTGTGAACCACCATGTGGTTGCTGGGAATTGAACTCAAGACCTCTGGAAGAACAGCCAGTGCTCTTAACCTCTGAGCCATCTCTCCAGCCCACCCCCCTTTTTTTTTAAGATCACAATATTTAGTGTGCGGGTGCATCCACGCACACCTCAGCATGAGAGTGGAGGTCAGAGGTCAGCCTGTGGGAGTTGGTTTTTCCTTCTACCAAGTGTATCCTGGGGAATTGAACTCAGGTCGTCAGGTTTGGCAGCAAATGTCTTTACCTGCTGAGCACCTTCCTGGCTCCATTTCCCCACAGTCTACAGTAAGATTTACATGAGAAAAAGAAAGGAAAGCCCTAAATATGAAGAAGCCAAGGGCTTCACTGAATGTTCTTGGCACATTTAAAAAAAAATCATATTTGGTATAATTCATGGGAAAGTGCATTGAAAATTCACCTGTTTTCTATCCATTCTTCATCTGGCTAGGGTGGATAAGTGGGTTCACGTCCTCTCTCGGGACGGGCACAGGGTCCCCCTTGGGAATGACTTTTAGCTTGTGGGACATCATATTGCAAATGTCTCTTCCTCTCTGCCTGGTTTGGAGACTGCAAACCCACCTTTCCTAAGACGACACTGTCACCATGTCAGGAATTGGCTGCTTCACTTTTTCACCCAGCCGGGGGAGGACCGCATCAGACTGTGACTTCCCATCTGACACACCCCATTTCTGTCCTGAGTATACCACTTCAGGTTGCTAGATATTTTCTTCTCAGTCGGTTTTGTTTATTGGATAGTTGGGATTCAACTTTGTGCTCCACTGAACAGTTCTAATGGTTATTTGTCTAAAGAACATAGGACTCCCATGATCACCACCCAGCCATGAACACCGGGGACCCCACAGTGGGGTGGAGTAGAGAGCGTGGGCAGGCAGGGCCTGGGGATGGGTGGGAATCATGGGGGAGGGGATGAGGGAGTGGACAAGTGAGGAGTTCCAGGGAGGTCGGGCAAGGAGGAAGTAGAGGTACTGATGAGCAGGGTACCTGAACACTTAGAGTTTGGCTTTCTGTCGGGGACCGATTCTATCCTCAGGAAGACCATTGAGGACAGGCATCAACCCATTTAGCAGATCCCTGGGGAGGCCAGACTCTGGGATCATCAGTTTCTTTAATGGGGATACAAGGTCTCAGCAGCCCTGGCCACAAGGGACAGTGAGTACCAATTCTCACATGTTACGAACGGCTGTTTTCATTTCCCTGTAGAGGTAGTCCATTCCTTTATATAGGATGGGGCTGACGTGTGTAGGGAGTGGATGGCTTCTTGGGGTTTGAACTCTTATTTCCTGGGTTCTGTGTCAGGATCTGAACATATGAACCAATCAGATGAGTGAATACAACACACAGCATGGGTCTTGTTGCCCTTGCCGGGTTTAGAGTCTGGTGGGAAAGATGGAAAATGGGCAAGTCCACACAGTGGCCTGTGTTTTTGGTTTTTACTTGTTTACTCTTTCGGGGGCCTGCCACCCAGCTCCCAAATAATCATACATGGAGGCTTATTCCTAATTATGAATGCCCGGCTTTAGCTTGGCTTTCTTCTTGCCAGATTTTCTTAACCTAAACTATCCCATCTACCTTTTGCCTCTATGTCTGTTCCTTTTCTCTTACTTCTGTAAATCTTACTCGTACTCTGTGGCTTGCTGTGTAGCTGGGTGGCTGGCCCCTGGAATCCTCCTCTGACTACTTCTTTCTACCTCTTCTCCCAGATTTCTCCTTCTATTAATTCTCTCTGCCTGCCAGCTCCGCCTATTCTTTCTCCTGCCTTTCTATTGACTGTTCAGTTCTTTATTAGACCATCAGGTGTTTTAGACAGGCACAGTAACACAGCTTCACAGAGTTAAACAAACGCAACATAAACAAAAGTAACACACCTTGAAATAATATTCCCCAACACCAAAATTAGCCTCTGCTTGGTAACGTAGGATGCTGGTCGGTGCTCTGAGTTGGAAGCAGGAAGTGGGAAGAGAAGGGGATGAAGGATGCTGGTTTCAGGATGCTGGCCAGGGCAGGGCTGTCTGTGGAGGTTGAGTGGGTGGAATGGGCCATGGTTACTAATGTAGAAGAGGCCCTTTTCATCCAGAGTTAGGAGTGATGCAGGGGCCACGCACAGGTGGACAGGTGGTGGAGACAGGAACTCGGCAGGCTGGAGCTCAGGAGAGAGAAATAGTTGGGTGGGAGAGATGGGGACTGAGCGTGTGCAGCATCTGTGTATAAAGAAAGTAGATGGGGGTGGGGAGGAAGTGGCTTATGCATAAGGTGCTTACCTCACCAGCCTGAGGACCAGAGTTTCCAGATGTCTGGAAACAAGGTAAAAAGCTGGGTGAGTGTGACAGCCTGCCCATCAACCCACGGTTTGGGAGCTAGAAACAGGGAATTCCCTAAGCAAGAGAGCTATCCAAAATACCCAACTGATGATGACGCCATATCAACCTCTGGCTTACACACACATATGCATGCACATGTGAGCACCCACATTCATGCATGAACTACCCACACACATGGTAAGTGATGAGGGGAAAAGAATTCAGCTTTTCAATTTTAATAGCATGTATATTAAGAAACAATTCTAGATTTAGGATTGACGTCTCCATTTTATATAAATCTAAATGCAACTATGTAGTTATTCTCTCCCCCCCCCATCGCTTTTCATAGTGCATAGTATATAGAGGTGTGCATCCCAGAGCATGGAATAATGCATCGTAACATATTCTGAAACTTAGCTTAGAACATACCTCTGCTGAGAATTCCCTGGCATCTTCCAGGTGTGCTCAGGAAAAAGACAGAGATCTTAGCTACTGTGCTGGGGTGCAGGGAAGGTCTGTCCCTTTGACCCTCTGTCCCCTTTGTCCTCCCCTGGGGTTTCTTGGCCCCAGCTGTTCCGACTTCTGAATCGATTGGTGTATATTTGCTTTCTACTCAGCTGAAACATCCCTCATACAGTCACATGACTTCTCTCCCCGACCCGTTTCCTTCAGGCGTCACACATTCAAGAGCTCTCCCTTTGTCGCTGTTTATCAACACGACTTTCCCAGCACCCTGCTTTGACTCTCCCATGTGCTGATGTGTTGGTTTGTTTATAGCCAGTGAGACCCCCTCCCCAGACACCTCTCTCTTTTGTACTATTCTAACAAAGTACTCATCCGAGTAAGTTTTATATAACATGGGTCATTTGGCTCATCGGTTTTTTTGTTTGTTTGTTTTGTTTTGTTTTGTTTTTTTAGGAGGGTAAATTCAAGTCCCCAAACTACATCTAGATTGGGCTTTCTTATTACATCAGGGCATGGAGGAAGACAGCATGTGGGAAAAGTGTGCAAGAAAGGGGGAAGGGCCTGATCCCTATAACAAGTGCACTCTCATGGGGGCGGAGGACCGAGAATTAAATGAATAACTCATAGACTTTGGGATTCACACTCAACCTGTGACACCAAGTCCCAAGAGAAGGGGGAGGTACTTTGTCTTGCTCACTGTTTTTCTGACAGGTAGCAGGTGTACAGTAATTCCCAGTGTTAACTGAATCTGAATGTATGCTTTCCCCATTGGGCCTCTGTACCGCAACCCCTTCCCCATGCACCCAGGTACTCTGCCAAAATTGTGCACTTAGACAAAAACTAGCCCGCATTCTTTTAACTTGGAAACAGCCTATCTCTGTGGTGCCCAGCCTGGATTTGACTTCCTGCCTCAGCCTCCAATTGCCAGTGGGCTGACTATACTTGGTGACATTAGATTTTTGCATTGATAGCTGGAGGGTTATAAAGAAGGACTTGTTTACCTGGTGACTTTCGCTCCTTCGTTCTTTTCCAGTGGTCCTAACCGTGGACATTACATCACCATTGTGAAAAGTCATGGCTTCTGGCTGTTGTTCGATGACGACATTGTAGAGGTAGGTATGTAGGTTGCTCTCCCATGGGCCTAGGGTGGAGAAGGGATTTGGGGTGGGCAACTGTTGTTAATGCTACCTAAAATAGACCTGCCTTCCAGTAGTAAAGACATATTTAGATTACATCCATGCACTTCATGTATTGTTTTTTTTTTTTGTAAAGGAATATTATAAACTCTACCCTCAAAGGTGGAATCTGTTTTAGCCCTCCAGGGTAGCTGTGTTGGTGGACTGGGCCCTAAAGGAAAGGAGCTCTGATGAACTGGAAGAGCTGAGGTTATTCACAGACCCCTCAGGTTACTGTCTGGAAGACAGACTTCCTAAGTTTTTCCAAGGACATCTATGTACAGTTATGGTTAAATGAAAGGGTTGGGTTTTCTCCCGCAGGAGTTTGCATCTGCCACATCTGTAGAATGAACCCTTTGCCCTCAAGGTTCCTAATTACATTTTTACACCAACTCGCTTTAGATTCTGTGTTTCCAGGAGTCATAGGAAATAATTACATTATTTTTTTCCCCTTCATTGCAGAAAATAGATGCTCAAGCTATTGAAGAATTCTATGGCCTGACATCAGATATATCAAAAAATTCAGAATCTGGATATATTTTATTCTATCAATCAAGAGAATAACTTAGCGGAGCGTGGGACTAATTCCAGCGGGGAAATACTCAAAGCACTACAGCCTTGTTTCTCTGCAGACCTTTCCCCCCCACAACCCACTGACATTATCACTGATGCCCACTGGTCTGGCAGTGTTCAACTTCCTTCCTTTGTGTTTTTATAAGCAGCACTACTCCTGGTTTGTCCTGGTCTGAGGTGGAGTTAACTGCAGTCAGATTCTAGTCAGATTTAGATGAATAACTGTTGCTAATTTGAAGATTGGGGTGAATGTTATGCGGCTTGTCATGTCTGGCTAAGTCAGAGTGACATTTCCTGTAAATGTCACAGCCCATTTTGAGTGTTTGTTAAGCTTCCTGAATGGTTTCCGGGGTCTCTTTTCCATGCATTCCTTTGACATGTCCCTGGAAGCGTTGCTACCCATTGTTAGCGTGCCTGCCTCTTCTGATGGCAGGAGATAGATCTTCTCCCAGTAAGGCTGCAGCCATAGCTTTAAGTCTGTGCAAGTGAAAATGTCTAAAAGTGAGCGACGTCCATGGTGAAATCATCCTCCGCATTGGAACCGGGTGAAGCCAGGCTGTTGATGATGGCCAGTGTTTGCACCCAACTGTGCTTACCTAGCTGGTAGAATCCCAGGGGCTAAGACTAGGGAGCTCAGGGCAGGCAAAGCCAGGAGGAACATGTTTTTGTGGATAGTGAAAAGTTCCTTATCTTCCTACCAAAAGCCGAGTTTCAGGAAAACGATGCGAGGCTGTTCCTTTTCAGTGACCGTTTTCTTCTGTTGGGTCCTGTAGCTGTCTTCTTCTCGTATCTGGCACTGCTAAGCTTTTCAAGCTGGCTTTCCAATCCTGCTGGTGTTTTGCAGTCAGTGGCATCAGGGCTGAGATACCAGTTGGCTGCCTCTGGCACATCTCTCTCTCTAGCCAGTGGACACCAACATCCTTCCTAGACCAGGAAGATGAATCAACTACTCTGTTTGCCTTGACGACCATCAGCAGATTGTACAGCTTCATTTAAAAATCAAAATCCTATTCAGTCTGTTTACGGGGACACTGGTGAGTTCCAGGGCTAAAACAAAACTCTCCCTGAAGGGAATGCTGGAGTTAGTGGAGTGTGAGATGGGTCACCGGAAGTGTTAAGGGGTGGGCGAAAGGATGAACAAGACAGCTGCTATTTCTCTGGCTCAGATTTCTAGAATGCTTGACAAGACAGTGTCCTGGGAGAACCTCATCTCACTATTTTCCCTTTTGTTATGTGTGTATTTATTAGAGAATTTGAATATTGGTACCTTTTCTTAAAAGGGTTGATTTGGTGTTTTACTGTTGAGTTAATCTTAGTTTTCCTACAAATACTATGAGTCACAGATCTTGGGTTCCTTTGGGACGTCAGTTGACTTCCATACACTATAGTATACTGTGAACGTGTTATGTTGTGACCCAGTACATCAGCGAATGAACATGCAAACTCTTGGCATAATGTGAACTACAACTGTAATTGAAGAGCGTCAGTGGCCATTTTGCAACAATGAAGAGGATAGCACTTTATCTAGGTGAAAACTGGACCTTTTATTTTTTGAAATATCTTGAACTGTTTGTGGCTCAGAACTTAAGCATGCCAACACTTCATTTGTTCATGCTTGAAGGAGGATGTCTCACTCTTCACTGGAGAAGACGGAACAGGGTCATTTCATGTTATTGTCTTATGCAAGTGGCAAAATGGACCTTGTTTTGGTTAGAGGCAAATGCGTATTTATAAATATTGTGTCTTTTTTCCCCCTCCATGAAGCATATTTATTAATCACTTACCTTGGAGGTGAACCTTTATTCTTTAAAGAGAGGCCCTTTCTAAATGAAAGTGATTGATGGAAGGAAATGTTTGTACCACATACGGCCCATATATTTGACTGTGGGTTACAAAGGTTAAGAAAATGGTTACTGGTTTCTAATCTATTTGGAACTGATCATAGAACAAAAATTATTAAAATTATCTTTGAAACAACTCTTGAAGCTAATTTATTAGACAAAAAATTATTTCAATTGGAAGCCCAAAGTGCTATTATAAAGTTCAGCACACTTTTCTTTTCTTTTCTTTTTTTCCTTTGGTGAGCGTGTAAAGTTTTCCTCAGTAGTGTGGACAAAGTCATTGCTTTTAACAGAGAAAGCGAGTTAAAATTCAGTATTCATGAAGAAGTTTTTGGAACGGAAAGAGATAAGCATGGAGACTACTGTACTGACCTTCAGCTGGTTATGGTGCAGGGGAAAAAGATCGCAGAAGACCAAATACAAATCTCCATCCACACGCCATCTGTTTTTAAAACATAGGACCATCTGGTAACTACTCACCTCTTTTTCAGTCAAGGAAACAACCTGAGGCAGCTCTCTTCCACCCCCATCATTTTTCTTGTCCTAGAGAAATCATGTTCTCACTTGCCGTCCCTGGTTCTAGCAGAAACAACAGTGACGGTGGGACACGTGAGACCACTCCAAGGTCACCTCCAAGGTCACGGCAGCGATAGCACAAAGACCCAGCAACAGCCCCCCAGATGGGGCTTTGCGTGTTTTCTCCAGCAGGAGTGAGGAAGCCTGCTGCATTCTCGAATTGCTGGGTATTTAAAAAGAAATTATAGTGTCTTTGAAGAGACTTTAAAACTTTTTTTAAAAAATGAAATGTTTGTTTTATTGGTTACTTGCTAGTTTAACATCTAGATTATGGTACAGTATGCTAAAATCTTTTGTTTCAAGGCAAAATATAGTGAAATGGTGACATGTATAGAGCCGTTACATTGATGTGTTTTTCCATTCCAAGCCATCATCAGGTAGACTGGCTGGAAGAAAGCCAGAAATAATACAATCAGGGTGTCAGTCTGAATAGGAAGCCATTCCCATGTGGTTTAATGTCCTGGTTATATTTTGGACTTAACATAAAATGGAACATGACAGAAATGGTCCCTGTGTGTTTGTTTTCATGGGTACCCTTAATCTCATGGGCACGTCTAACTCGAAAGTGTGTTCTAACTGGCGCTTAAGGCTTATTTTAGATACTGGAGTGTAGCTTTATTATGGATGGATTTTATCTTTTAAACATTTCATTTTGATCAATTTTGTATATTCATGTGTATTAAAATATCGTGCACTAAATGTTCTCTCCTGGTTTGCTGTTACCTGGTCAAGGGATTGGCCAGCACCATTGTGATTAGCCCATGCAAATGGCATGGGCCAGAGAAAATTATTGCCTATTTTTCTGCCTAATTAAATTTCTGTTTTCTAGTATTACATTAACTTATTTTTGCCTCCTATTTCTGTAACCAAAATAGTTACTGTATGTGTGTGACATTCACTTGATTTTGTTGCTTAAAAAAAAAAAAGCTTGTAGTTTCTATTTAAAATAATCTGTATCTTTGTTTGTTTTTTTAATGTAACCAACTCAAGCACTTTAAGCAACGCTGTCAGTGTCCTGAGATTTTATTCGCTTTAACACTCTGCCTCTAGAAGTGTTTGCAAGAAAAATGAATAAAACAGGAATTATCTCCATAGAGAACCATAACGGAGTACTGTCACACATGTGACCTTCAAGTCCTCGGCATCACACACGAGCCAGTGCGTGAGGCCGCTGTGCAGGGCATCATTCGGGACTGAATTTTGAAAATGTGAAGGAGAGTCTGCTTGTCAGCCTATGGAAAGGCAGTAGCTCCGTGGAGTCTGGTAAGACCCATGTCCTGGACATAATCTACTTCATTTTGTGCAGCAGGAGCCACAGACTGCTGTTGAGGAAACTGCACGCTGAGAAAATCAGTGGCAAGAGTGTGTGCACCAGCTGGCTAGACTTTGCAGTCCACTTCCCCTTGTGTGGCATCTTCTTAGTTATGACCTGCTATTCCTAAAATAAGGATGTGGCTCCCAACTCTGGGCTGCCATCAGCACTGGTTTCCAGGAGTAGGAATGTGTTCCTAGGTCTGGCCTTTCAAGCCTGATTTGTGGGGACCCTGCCCTCAAAACTCTAAGCCGGATGCAGCCTACTTCCTACTCACATACATGAGTTCAGGCCCTACCCTGTAGTCAAGAGGAAAGCCCACAGTTGCCAGAATCTGGGCTTTTCTTCCCAGCTAGTGACTTCAGGGGGTCTGTGTGTAGACTGGAAATTGTGACTCTGAGTCCATGACTCGGTGTCAGTATGGGACCCTGTGGGCCAGGACCGTGGATAACTAACTGTAAGTCTCCCTGTTCCTGCATCTTCATTTGGGTTCATGAGCTTGAACGTGACTGGGCCAAGCAGGCTGTTGACTTCCAGGATAACCAGAGGAATAGAGGACCTTCTTGGGAATAAGATTTTTTCCCCCTAGGCTTTGTTTTTGTCCTCCGTCAAATGGGTTTAAACGTAGACCTGTTGCTACAAGCCACTCAGATAACTATTTCTAGAGAATGAGAAGCCACCCTCTTCATTCAATATTCTTCTGTTTTCATTGATGCTTAAAACAGCTTTAACAGGGCTGGAGAGATGGCTCTGTTAGGAGCACTGACTGCTCTTGCAGAGGACCCGGGTTTGGTTCCCAGCACCCACATGGTGTCTTACAACCTCCATAGCTTCTATTCCAGGGGAGTCCACTGCCTTCTCTGGGTGACATGCACATGGCACGAATGCACACATCCAGGCAAAACACTCACGCACATAAAACAAACCTTAAGCAAACCAACAGCTGGCACCTTTAACGGAGAATCCCATTCCCATGGCGTCTTCCTTAGATGAGTGTGAAGGACACTTGTGGAGTCCCTTTTCTTGAGGGTAAATTTTGATTTCAGGGACAGTACTCCAAGCAGACTGCTTACTTTTCCTAATGATACCCCAGGTGGAGGGATTCTTATTCATTATTTAACACTTGGGGAGATAAAGATGAGCCAAATGCCGCCCTCCCCCTGCCCCCCATTTCTTGCCTCAGAAAAAGTCTGTGGGAAAAAAAAAATGAAGCTTTATAGAAATACCACACATGGGGGCGGCAGTGGCATTTGGCTCAGGGGTCCCCATGCAGGGGTGGTCCCGAGCAGCCCTGTTCCCCTCCTGGGGGTCCGCTTTCTCCTCTCTGCTCTTAGTCTTAGCTTTCTCTTCTGCTCTCTTGCTGACACCATTTTTAACAAAGGGCAAACCTATTATGTTTCACTAGTGGATTGGACTATTTTGCCTTTTAATCTTATGATAAAAGAATCAACTTTCTGGTGGTTGGAGAGAAGGCTTAGTGGCTGAGAGGAGCATGTACTGCTGTCTCGGAGGACCCGAGTTCAGTTCCCAGCCATGGCGGGCAGCTCACATGTGTCCGTAACTCCAGCTTCAGGGCCATTTGGTGCTTTCGGCCTCCATGGGCATCCTCACCCACATGTGTGCACATACACATGATTAAAATGAAATCTTTTTGGAAAAGTCATTCTTTTGAAAGTCCGGATGGTAGCTTTTGTGAACACCAGTATCTGTCTTGTCTTCACAGCTTGTTTACATTATGACCAAGGCTTTAGACTCCACCCAGACTTAGAATGAATCAGGCCATGAGAGTCTGGAAGCTATGTGAGCAGTAGCTTTATATTGGCTTTCTAACCAGTGTTGGTATTTTTCGGTGCCCATCTGAAGAAAATTGCTTTGAACTACACATGAGAGACTTAAAGACAAATGAAGATTAACTTTGTTTTGGTGATGAAAGTCCAGGGTCAGAAATGTAGAGAAAAAGGATGCCTGATCGTGTGTTCATTTCCCACGTGGTTGTAATGTGTTAACCTTGGGACATCATGTTATAACACAGGTCCATCCTCTGCTTTCCATCTCTCAAGAGTGAGCACGTGTGCTGTATGTAAAGCAGCAAGGCAGGCCGGTGACACGGGCTCTGGTCCTATTTTGTCTCACCCCCTTGTGACAGTGGGGATTTGGAGATGAAAATGGAGATTTGGATCTGACTCAGTTGGAAGCAAAATGACTCCATGATTGAAACCACCATTCCTATATATTCAACCGAGTCTTCCCCCTGTGAATCAACTAGACAGCATCCACATTCTAGAGACTATCTTAGAGGACCTTGCCAGAGAGAATTCATGTGCTGTGAAAATCACCACCCAAAGAACCGGAGGACGGGCTTGAAACCTGCCGAAAGCTAGGCCTATGCATATCAGAGTTTATTCATCTCCAGGTGGAGAATTTTGCACTTCTGCACATCCTCTCTCTCTCTCTCTCTCTCTCTCTCTCTCTCTCTCTCTCTCTCTCTCTCTCTCTCTCTCTCTCTCTCTCTCTGTGTGTGTGTGTGTGTGTGTATATACACATATGTCAGAGGTCATCCTCGGGCATTGCGCCTCAGGAGCTGTCCACCTTGCCTTTTGAGATAGGGTCTCTCACTGGGAGTTATGCTAGGCTGACTGGCCTGTGAGATCTGCCCAGATCTGCCTGTCTCTGCCTCCCCAGTACTGGGATCACAAGTCTGTGTGTGCTACCACACCTGGTGTCTATGTGGTTCTGGGATCTAACTCCACATCTCCTGATCTCTCAGCCCTGGGTACTTTTTAAAATGAGTTAGGAAACCCGTGTAAAGAGAAACTTGCCTTCCGTCCTCATTCCCTCAGGTAAGGAATTCTTTAAAGACTTTTTGTTTGAAAACTTCTTAAAAAACAAATAGCTTCTACATATTTCCCCGCCCACCACCCTTAATTCCCAGGGGACGACAACAACAGTATTGATTGTCACCTGGATCGGATGTCTGTGCCAGGTCGGACAGAGAAGACTTCAGCAGAAGTTGTGGGGAGCCCGTGGAAAGGACAGATTGTCCCTCAGGATGTTTACTAGCAGCTGGGACTTTAGGTAGCACGTCATCTGAGGAGCCTATAATGGCTTATGAAGTAGGAACATCCTGAAGAGCCTGTCTGGGTGAGGGCCTGTGTAGACTGCAGGTGAATAAAGGCATGGGTTTGGGCAAAGAGTTGGGGAACAAGGTTAAGACTCATTGCTTAGCTTCTAGCCTTGGGGTACCCTGCCACAATTTGGATTTGATGGCCCTACCTTTAAGGGACTTGGATTGAACTCGGGCCTTACGGATCATAGGCAGTTACTGTACTCCTGAGCTTCATCCCATCCCTGTCCTGGAGAGTCAGATGGGACTCAGGACGCAGACACTTAAGGGGCACAAAACATAGCTGTAAAGTGATGAAACTATTAATAGCTAGGTGCTCAAAGAAGTCAAGCCCCAAAGCCCATTGGCATGTAGACACACGTACACACACACACACACACACACACACACACACACACACACACACTTCAGAGTAGGTAAGCATCAGTTCTCCATCTGGAGATGAACTCTAACATGGAGACCCACGATGCTTTCTCTTTTCCTCCAAGAGCCCCTAGGCATAAAGACAACGCCAAAATGAGGTGAGAGGGGAAATCCCTAACGGCAGCCGAGAGCTAGCCTGAGAAAGCTGCATGTCGGATGCTCTCAGGGGCTGGCCTGCAGCTCAGAGCTAGGCCATGGGGTCTTCTTGCTTGCCATAAGCAATTCACAGAACAGCATCCTTAGACAAGGTCATGCTGTGACCATGATGAAGCCAGACAAGAAACGTGTCAACTTCGTAATTTTCTCTAAGCCCAGGCAAGAACAAGGTCACGGTGTAAATGGTAAAATGCCCATTGCTCCCCGAGTCTGAGTGAAGGGGAGGAGGGGGGGGACGACACTGCTGTTTTACCGATTCCCACTGTACCTCCTCCTGCATCTGACCCAGATAAGAGTAGCAAGATACACAAAGAATCATTCCTACTTCCTGACAGTGCCCAATCCTGAAAAGCCATTGTTGCCCTCCTCCACGGTCCCAGCCAAAGCCCCGGGCTCTAAAGCTCTAAAGCCCCCCTAGTAGATGCCCAGGGTTCTGCCTGACACATGGCCTCTGCGGCAGTGAGCGCTGGACTTATCACAACGCCATAATTGTGTGTGTAGTCTGGCTGGAGGGTGATGTTCCAGGAATGTGCTGGAAGGAGAGGTAAGCTGTTTCCGGTACCTTGCTGGTCTAAGAGCAGGAAGGAAAAACGACTGCAGAACACACCATAAATACTGCGATTCTTGTCTGAGGACTTGGTTGTATTGGTCCGGACCCGGGTCTTCCAACTTTGAGTAAATAATGACGTTAGTCTTCCCTGCCCTATAGCAGGAAGATCAATACAGCAGAGTTATGATGCATAGAAGTCTCTGGAAAGCGCATTGGCATGAGCCTCCACACCCTCCTGGGGTCCCTTTGGCTCAGATGTGTCTGTCTCCAGAACCTTTGAATTTGCTGGGGCACCAGAATCCCCACTGGAGGATCTGAACCCTGAAGTGGGAACTCGAGAGCCTTCCCCGTGCAAGGCTATTTCAGGAATCCCAGTCTCTCTGATCTTATTGTGTACACTCAAAAGATTTCCATAACCCTAAAGTTGGACTTGGACT